AGAAAGAGAAACCTTGCACTAAGATCTCCTCCAAGAAATACTAAATGATAACATTAGTAGTAACATTGAGTCATTTTGAAGCTGTACTCTTGTGGAATATTAATAAAAACTCAGTAACATTTGAGTCTCATAGGTAAATGGTAAGAATTGACACATGATGTATAATAAGTCAGTGTCCTCGTTATCTGATCACGTCTTTGTTTTCTTCTCAACTTTTACATTTTGTTCTTACAAAGGCTGCTGACACTAAATCTGATGAGAAAACAAGCTCACACCTGACACAGAGACAGGAACAGAAGTCAGACAATGGAGGGGATGTCTCCAGGTCACCAACCCCCTCCTGCCCTCCCAGTAAGAGTGATGAGGACGGTAAGCGTCTAGTGGCAGCAGATGTCTTGGAGGTATCCACTGGACCTCAGACACCACAAAAGTAAGTCTGACTGTAGGAAAGTTCGTTACATGTATTACGTTGATGTGATTTACACTTTATATCGTATTTATAATATTATGATATATGAAGTTCACATTGATTGGCAATTTTTTTTCTTTCTTCAGTTCATCAGTCAGTGAATATTCGACTGTTTGCTTCCATGCTGTCCTTTCCAAAGACTTCCATTTTGATCCAGAGAAGGACTTCGTTTTTCTTAAATGTGAAGCATTGTGTGGAAACTGGGATCGTGGTTATACAATGGTTCCCAGGTATGACTAAATAGTTCAACATAACTGCACAAAACAACTGTTTTGTAAAATCAGACTTTTTTCCCCTCATGTTACCAATAATACCTGCATCTTGACTGTCATTCAGTGTGTAGTTTACTTTGAATTAGGGGTTAATGACTTCTCTGCATGTCATATCTCTAATAATACCTGCTTATGTTTCACAGGCTTCTTGGGGACAAGCAATATCTTGTTGAACGACAAGTTCTGATTCCCAAAAACAGAATTCACGAGAGCCTCCCCTACAAATACGCTGTTTACAAGCCCAGTGGAAACCGCTATAAGGTCATCTATGAGACTCTTTACCAGAGA